AACCCTGGTTCAGGGTTTCGTGTCGACTAACTCCAACCACCATCTAATCACAAGAAATATGTTTATGTATCCAACTATTATTCACTTTTTTTGAAAATTGGCGATAGTAATCCGTTACCAAAATCATGGTACATGCAGCAAAGTTAATATTCTCACAGAGATTGTCCTAAAACATATTATAATTGTAAAAATAAACTCCCTATCGATCACTAGTCATAAAAGTTGCCTTCTTTACTTAAGATTATATATATACGCAAATTTATAAGGATTTCCAAGGTAACCTTTTCATATTCAATTTACATAACCTTCACCTCATGTTATTAAACAATTTCCTGATATTTATCTATCATGTTTAATTACTCTATTGATTCCATACCATGTAAAATGATAGAAAATTTCTAATTGAATGAATATTCTCACTTTTTTTAACTGATTATTTCAATGTTAATCATTTCAGCTAAATTCTCTGGTAGTTCATGCGTAGAAAATTCAAATAAAGGAGCTAAATGAATGAAATTTTTAATCGTTTCAGGATTGCAACAGTTCATCATCGTCATTATAGACGTTAGTCAATTCGATTATCCTGAGCTATATATGGCTTCATTTCATTAATTGATTATGTTTCAAGAAACGTTTACAAGATAACTTACTTAATTCAGTATCTATTAGTTATTATATTTAACTTCAAAAATCATGAATGTTTAGACTTAACTATGAATATGATATAATCAGTCCTACACTCGAACTCTAACTACATATCATCTTACTTTAACTGAAAACAATCAATGGAAAACCATACCTATCAACGTATTGGGGAGGTCATATGTACAATTACCTAGATTTTATGGATTTGATTAACAATAGAACTAATAGTTTGCAACATTACTTACTTATTTACACCTGTTACTCCTCATGGAGCATAGGCCGCAGACCAGCATTCTCCAACCCACTCTTTCCTGGGCATAATAATAATGTGGTGTGTGCTACTTATATTGACATAAGTAGTATGTGACGTTACTCGTGAACAGAAGGTTTGGCAGCAGGGACGAGAGGATCGAACAGTAAAGAATGGAAACAGGATGCGATTTGTATGAAAGTGCAAGAACAATCAAGTCTGAGTCATTTTGAGACAATCGATGGACATTTTGAAAATTAAGCATTTACTTTATGATTGTTAGAAATTATTAACGAGTCCTGTAGTTTTGTGTTAAGTACATTCGATTGTCCCCACGGGTGTTCTGCTCACTACAATAATAATGATGCATTACAAAGTTTGACGGGATCGCACTTAAAGAGAGTAAGTTATAAGAATAAAATCTTAAGACCGTGATAGAGAGAGCTACATACTTTACACAAAATATATCAAACATCGATTTATCGAGAATGAATTAGTGTACTGTACATTTTTCTTAATATTTACCACTATAAAGTTAATGGCTGGATTCATCTACTTGGATAAATTTATCAAAATGAATAAAATTCTATTACTCCTGACTATAAAAGACAAAACTCAACTTCATTTCATCTTCCATTTTTTTTAAAATGAGATATTACATGAGATCCAAATAATTAGACCAGCTATAAATCTATAATTTTAGTTTCATAATTGTAACAATAGGATAATCATATGTGAGATAGATAATATTGTACGTTAAAATAATAAGCTTTTACATCGGTTATGTCGTAGACATGTAAAATATATACTACACATAAACTTGAAAGATCTATTTGAAGGGGTTTGTACACACTGATTTAACTTGTATTCTGTTTTCATCACAGATTGATATCAGTTAAGGCACCACTGTAAACCAAGGAACACTAGACATCGGTTTCATCCCAATACAAAACTCCTAATCAGTGCACCTACTACTCATGTATCGAACTCAGGGGCTTTGGATCTCATGGTGAACGTTTAACCTTACTGGGATTGTCAGCACACACTGCCTCGGAGTTCCAGACTCTCCATTGCTTCCTAGCCCTTAATGATGCCTCCGAGTGAGATCAATTTGTAACGAATATTATCTGCAAAGTTGAAAGATCACTTAAAAAAGAAATACAATCAATATGATGAAACAAAGTATGCGAATAAAAAGATTAATAGGAGAAATGCTATATTGGGTTAATTAATAATAGTAATATTAAGAATATTATACAAAGAATGTTGTCAGGATAAGTATGATAATGATGATAAGAGACTCAAATAAATTGAGAAACATTAATATGAAAATTAAGAATGGGATAGAGTATAAATAAACATAAAATAGAACTACGAGGTAAAAGTATATAGCCGTGGCATGTAGAAGAAATAAACGAATCGTCGGCCATGGTAAAAAAAAATGGTTGGATATATCTCTCTAAAATACATAAGTTAGATTATCTGAAGTTGATCTCTATGACTTCAGCCATGTGGAAGAGGTGTACTTTTACTCCCTCATGAAAAATTATTTGGAGCTTGATATAAATCTGTGGCTTCTATTTTGATATGGTGTCCACCACCTACCAGGTGAGAAAAAGTAGTCCTATTAATAAATTTCGTTATTCCTTTTTTCAACTATCCCAGTACATTTTCACGAGCACATAATGATGGGACTTTTTGAGAATTATGTTACTAGCTCCATAGTAGTTAGACCGGTATACACACATCTAAGTAGCACTCAAATTACCCGATTTAAACGTTCTTCCAATCGATCTTGTAAGTAACCCTTTTGAAATCAAATTTTAGAATATGGTTTTCTTACAGTGTTAACGTTTACCCCATTTTTTTATTTGAACACATATTTTTTAATAAATTATTATCTGGACAACCGTTATTTACTTTTTAATTTATCTCTTTCTTCATTGACACTATCTTCAAAACATATTTAACTAAGTTTAATTTGTACTGAAGAGATATAAAGCTATAAAAGTGGATCCATTAACTAATCTATCTATTCCTTTTAAGTAGTTCTTTTCTACAGATCTACTCATCCTTCTTAAATACAGAACAACCATGAAAACTGTTGTTTTTTATTTTTCTTAAAAGATGAATCTAATAGCAGGACACATGTTATTGAAGCTGTTGAATAGCTCGTATTTATTGGGATTACTCTCCCACACATTTAGCATAGTTATCTATGTACAGATAATAGTACTGAAGTTTAATAATAATCGTAGAGCTTGACAATAAAATTGTTTGTTCAAATATTCCTGGTTTTTTGAATACTCTATGAGAGCTATTGAACAAGCAGAGTTAAGCACTATTTCTCATTGTCAAATCAGTCACAATACATACAATTACTTACTTATTAAACTGATCAAAATTTATTACCAACGCACTCTTGGGTAATGCGATATGCTTTACGAATTATCAAGTCTAATGTAATCAAGACTAAACGGTTGTACAAAGCGAATAAATAATAGCTCATAGTTCACAAATCAACTTTTAAAAATGCACAGCTTAGTTATCACTAAAATTTGTAGAACCCATGAAACACTATGATTCCAGTCAAATGTCAGGTATTTAATGATCTTTTAGACTATACATTTACAGAAATATTGACGATATACAATAACCCATATGGCCAAATAATCAATCATATGTTGTAGGAACAATAAATAACTTATCTTCGAGTTAAACAAAAATTTGATGATATTCATTCGGTACTATCGCTTGCTAATTTCAAACGAAGGATCAATTAAAAATAACATGATAAACAAGCGAATCATGTCTGCCTATTGCACAACTGACTTAACTCACTAGACAAAGTGGACCTCAACATCCAAGATAATAGTTTTTTACAAATCTATCAATAATAAGTAGACAAAGACGTTCCCAATCTTTTTCTAGGCTTTTGTTAACCTTCTAGATACAACTGAGTTCCAGAAATTATTATTTCATTCAGTCAGCTACAACGTAGGACCAGACACATATATGCATCATTTCAAGTTGCCACACCTCATTAACACAACAAGATGAACACCAAATTCATAGAAGTAGTTACTTCAATGATAGTAATATATAAAAGAAAGATTGTGTATAAGCATATAATACAGGAAGAAAGAATTAATTTGTACAAATAAAGGTATAAAGCAATTTTAATCTCACGGTTTAAGGGAAGAAAGAGAGTGTGTACACCTACGCCGTTGTGATCGATTCTCAGCCATATCATCCACAGTCTCCAACCATTGGTTATGATAGTCGCGCGGACCCCAACCAAGTAGTATGCATCTACCAACATCGCTCAGGCTAGAAGTTAGTCACTTCAAGGACTGATGCCACATTTTAGTTTGGCCGCCCCTAACCTTCTACCAACCATCCCCAACACTAGTCAGCATTGCGCGTCGTGGTAATCGGTGTTCAGGTATATGTAACACGTGGCTCAACCATCTCAGTCGATGAAGATTTACAACCTCATCAACTGATTTACCATCATTCCCTAATACATATTTAGTGGAAATATATAACCGAATTCACTTATTAGATGAATCTAACAAACAACATACAAAGGAACACAATTTTGTAGATTTTTTCCACTTATTCAAATATATTCTATGTACCTTGTGCTTAAAAATGTCATGGTTACGATTCATAACGGAACTATATTTGATATGAATAGAGAAATAAAGTAGTCATGACGAACAAGTTAATGGAATACTGACATTTAGTTTTGTCCATGGTGATTCTCTTAATCACAATTCCCAGTTGATGCATGATTCACTGATATACCCTTTTCTAGTCTAAATCTATTGTAATTTAAACGTAATCTTTTGTACTGCAGAAATTTTCTACCCTGGACATAAATGTATTTTTCTAATTGATTGTAAGTTATAGTTGTGCTAGTCATCTCTTTTTATTCATGTATCTTTTTACACTAATCTCAATCGGGTTTAATCAGTAATAAATCGAGTAGTGTTCTTTCCTTAACCAATCAGATGATAGAATAGTTTTCATCTCTCTGCCTAAAGCCATTAACCTCAACTTAGACGTGTATTTCTAGCCTCAAAGTTGAACTAGTTAACCTATAGTATCAAGGTTTTCATTTAATTAAATCAAAACAAGTTTTCTCTTGTATATTATCGAGTAAACATTATCAAGGATGTAACAATATATAAAATGAATAATAATTTATCACAAAAAAAAAGAAAACAACCATTTCAAAAACTTGATTTAAATCAACATGAAGGAATAATTTACAATGGAAATATTCTTCTTTTTTTCCTTTGAAAACAAACAAACAAATAAACAAAGTCTTGGACAATACTCATCAAGTTTATGACATAAAATATTTTAAAGAATAAAAACCAAAACAAAACAAAAAAAAGTTTGAATCTTATTCATGTTAATGATTAATAATTTTTACAATAACAAATGAATTTAATTAAAAGTTATTTTGAATGAATATGAAATAAAGTTTAGGAAAAATATTGATTGATGACAATAATAATTATTATTATGTAATAACCAGAGCTTGGCAACAATCTCCTTTTATATATTGATTCTTTTCATGGTAACAACATAAAAGAAATTTTATATGATACATTTTATAGTAAATGTACACAGGAATAAACATTTATAAATGTCCTATAAACATATCATCATCATGATGATGAATATTACGTAACAAACAGCTGAATTTATAAACCATATAATGATTAGTTGCATATTACAAGAAATAAACCCAACCATATGGATAACATGTAACACCTAAATACATTACGTATCTATGAATGTTTAAATGTATATTAAAATTTAAATTGAATAGTTATTTTAATGTAAAGTAAACAAACAAATTCATGCAAGCCTATCAATGTTTAGAGTTGAATGAGCGGCCTATGCTCCTTCTCCTCCTCCTCCACGAGGGGGTAACAAGCGTAAGTAAATAAATCAATGTTCACTGAATTTATTATAAGTAGGCATAGATGTATATATGTATTTAAATGTGTATTTTTGTTTAAATAATAAACAGAAAAGAGGAAATAAATAAACAAATAAATAATAATTCTGTTGTTGTTGTTGTTTTTCTCTCTCTCATAAAAAAACAAACCGAATTTAGCGTAAATTATATGCAAATGTTTCAGTTATAGTAGATGGTAATGGTTTAGGGTTAATGACTTCACGTAAACGTTCATTATCCCAGACAGTTCGTTTATTATTGTTATCTATGGAGTTGACAGCAGTATTTATACCAATAGTATGATTGATATTACAATTATTATTAATATTAACAGATTTAGGAAAATAGCTTGGTGTTAATGATACTGATGATGACAGTGATAATGAGGAGTTTTGTTTACCTGATGAATTATTACATAGGATATTGTGTTTATTATTATTATTATTATTATTATTAGTGGTAGTAGTAGAAGTAAAAGGTTTAGACCAATTATCCACAGGTATATCATCTGTTTGATCTAATGACAATAAATCGAAATTGTTCAACGCGGCAGCAGAATATCTAACAAGAACACAAAATAAACATCATTAAATGTTGAAGGCAGTTAGTGAAAATTAGCTTATAGGTCGCTTGTTCAACAATCAATTAATATCTGAAACTGTTAAATCTAGTATGGGACTCCTCAGCAGTGCGCATCCACGATCCCGCACCACGCGGGGCTCGAACCCAGGACCTACTGGCTTCGCGCGTGAGATAGGAACTCGCTGAAGACAATGGTGTACGGTGGCGCAACTTCGTGGATTGGTTGAAGTTAGACATTAACACCGTAGGATGCCAGCTCAGTGGTCTAATGGTTAAGTGCTCGCGCGCGAAGCCAGTAGGTCCTGGGTTCGAGCCCCGCGTGGTGCGGGATCGTGGATGCGCACTGCCGAGGAGTCCCATACTAGGATGAGACGGCCGTCCAGTGCTTCCAGGTTTCCAATGGTGGTCTAGCTTCAACTGACTCACGATTTCAATCTGTGAAATTTTTAAAATCTCCACAAAACCCATTCTGTTAAATCTAGTCTTTTTAACCTTTATATCAAAAGCAAAACAAAATAATTATATTTGAATTATATGGAATTCAACTAATAATCATAATTATGGGGCTCATTAGTCAATAGTTTCAAGAAGCGGTTTCTAGCGTATTTCTAGTAAGAAACCCTGAGGCAGTTGACTACCAATCGGATTGGAAGATGATTGAGTAAAATCACGATAATATTGACTCCACAATCTAGCGTTTAAGGCCTCGCTAAGACTCTTGAAAGGTCCTCAGATTGAGTCTCGACAGGATTGCAGAGGTGCACTACTGAGTATTTCCATACTAGGATGAAACATTTGTCTAATGCTTCTCGGTTTGTAATGGTTATCTAATCAAAGTCAATCCATTATGTACATTATATAATTCCACAATCTCTACAAACCTTTAAACATAAAGAGATAATCATTTAACAGGAACAGAATTAATAACAGTTGACCTCCTAAAAACAATAGACCACAGGCTTAAAATCTGATTCAATTACTTCGATTTAGACAGACATGAAGTATCCCTAACTCTTATTTACACAAACAATATAGCTAAAAGTCGACCACATAAACCGATAAATTCGGTGATTTCCATCTACGAAAAACATTTCTAATATATAGACTTGAAGAAAATCATCATATATGAGGTTAGATAGTACTTTTACTAATACAATAATTGGAAGCAAGATACGAATAAACTAACTCCATTCCAACGCGAATTCATTAAGAATTGCTTTCACATTTGATAGTTCGATTTCAGCAACCTATAAAGTTACGGTGTGTAACATAAACAAATAATAGTAGTCATACTTCCATAATGACAGGATTCAGTAAATATTTCATGTGGCTATAACAACAATCAGCATGACGGAATTATATTAATTAGGTAGCCGAGCAGTTGCTTAGTGATTACGGCGTTCAACTTCTGATTATTATATAACAGGTTCAGACAACGCTCCACCCTACTTCTGTTTGAGAATTAGGTAGTATCACTGTAGCTCAAAGAAAACTGTACATATCGATTGGCGGTGTTTTTTTCTGAGCTAGATACTTGAACTGAGGAGCTTTCATTGTTATTTGGGACATAATTGGAGCTTGGTTTACGTAGAGGTGAGTTGTTCAGTTATTCAACAAGTTTCGTATCAATGAAATCAGAAAGAAGTGATGGGATTACTAAAAACGGGACATTTCAATAAGAAGTAGCCGATAATAGGGCTCATAACGACGATAAAGGTTCCAACAATCAAACTATCCTTTAAGTAAAAACACATAACATCACTAAAAGCACTCATTTGAACAGCTAATCTTTTCCATTACACGTACCCAGTATCTGACAAATGATTTTATAATAAATTAATTGATTATCCCTAGTTCAACTATAAACATTTACATGTAATGTCTATAAGAGTATTCCAGCTGAAGAGGAAATTAGGAAAAGAAATTGGAAGTGGATAGGACATACATTGTAGAAATCATCAAGCTACATCGCAAAGCAAGCGCCAACTTGGAATCCTGAAGGAAAACAGAACACACTACGTCGGGAATCAGAAGCATCAAAAGGATTAATAGCAACTAGAAAAGATGACCCAAGACAGAGTTCAATGGAGAATGATAGTGAGTGGTCTATGGTCCTCCATGAGGGTAATGAGTGTAAGTAAGTTTATAAGATTAATCCATCACTACTGGAGTTAAACCATGTCGAGTGTAAGATAGTTAACCACTACAAGTAGTAGAAAATGGTCGCATAAAATTTTTAATTGATTAAAGTTACACACACACAATACTAAACGCCCATTCAGTGGTTTATAGATACTGGTTCCAGTAGCCCACAACATGGTCGTGGAACCCACTACCGATGATTCGCACACTAGAATGAAACTTTTTTTTTTCAATGTTTTCTGGTTTACAATGGTTATCTAGCTAATATTCGTTTACAAACTAAGCTATACAACGAATAATCCAGTTTAAATTAGATGATTCAGATAAACAATTCCTAGTTTTATTCCTTAAAATAATAGAAACAAAATATTAATTTGTTGATCATCAGAAAATATCCAAAATAGCGAATTTATAAACTGACAAGGATAAATAAGCGGATACACGAACATGAATTAATTGTAATTGGTTGACTGGATTGAAGATAAACACACACATATACCAATTAAAAGGAAATTATGAATGAACATCAGTTTTTCTGATCATCTTTATTGTTTGATCATTGATTTTCTCTTAAAGCAATTATTTTAACTGGTACATCTATTAATAATGTCCATTGATGAAAATATATCTGTGTTTTTGACAAAGTATGAGAATAAGGGAGAATGTTGAAGTTAAATGAGATGCACTAAGTAAATATGGCAAGCCAGTTGATAAGATGGTGAGTCTTTAACGATTGAGGTAGTTATAAAAAAGATTACGTAAGCCTAACAACCACCTACCTTGATAGACGATATTCACTAATGTAGTAGGTTTTTAAATAAAAGCTAGGAGTGGCCAAAGCAGGACATACTATAAGCCTGAGAATCCATTGATTGTTCAATTAAGAGATGGTGGGTACAAATATGACTAAAGTAAAACCATCGTAATCAGTGGTTGGAGATTTTGGGTGATGTAACCCAGATGCAATCACTTTCAGTGTTTCCTTAGACTGTGGGTTGATAAAAAAAATTGGTTGCGCTTTTTTAAGCAATGTGATAACCTGAATTGAAACATATATGGACCAGATCCTATGCTGTTGATGAGACTACCTCACTGACTCTATCATATACTAAAAGAGAGCCCGCAAATGTACCATATGCAAATGAAATCAAAATCTGGTGGTTGACAGACATAGAATTATTATGAGAATCACAACTTGACTATTACAAACTAACAAGCCGCCTGATAACACCTTTTTTAAAGATGACCACATAGACCGAAATGAAAAAATTACAGGAGGACTAATGAGGCATCAAAATGATAATTATGAAGATTTAACCAGTGTAAATTACTACTAATAATAATATGACAAGAGTTTATAAACAGTAATATCAGTTGCACAATGGATGGGATGATGCAACCCAATGACATTATTTATAATTTCCTGGAGTGGCTGAATAATTGTTAGAAATAGAATTAGGGATATGCGTTCCGTCTTATTGAGGACTAGTCAGCTAGCTCGACGTATCTGTACCCCAGCGTTAATATTCATGCTGACAATCGAACCCAGTATGTACCTGTCACCTTACACGCCAAAACCTGTCGTCCAAATAACCACTAACGTGTTCAATAAATGAGGTTATTTGTAATAATTTATTTAGAAAGAAAAAAACTTCTATCAACAGATAAGATAGTCGATTTAAAACTTTAAAGAACTTACTTAACAACCGATTTCAAGAATTGAGTAGCAGCTCCTAATGGTGAAGATGAAAGTGAACAGATTGATGATTGAGGTGAGAAGTCTGAAGAGGAACTTGAACGATTTGGGCTATTATCACCAGATGATCCAACGAGTGATTCTCTTTTCAACGCCGTTGGTATTTTTGTTGCTGTTAATGGTGGTGATGATGATGAAACTGTGAAGCGACCACTTGTTACACCAACAAGTGATGTTGTTATTGACGGAAAGGAATCATAATGTTGTGATATATTTTCAGGACTAAGTTCAGATGATAATGATGATGATGAAGAATTAGAAGATAAACTTTCTTGTTTACGACGTGTATTCCCCAGTGAACTACCCAAATTGAACCATGATTGAAAAGCTGAACTATCATCCATATTTAGTAAAACATTCTGAACAGTTGTGTGATGTGGATGAAATGTTTTTGGAAAAGATGACTGGTAATAAAGAGGAGGAGAGAAAAACAAAAATTAATAGCATCTGCATTAGCAACTCTTAATAATTAAACTATTTAGAATGCAATCAATTGACGTCTAGGATTTTATAAGAATGAAGCTAAAAAAACACCCAAACTTATGCATTTAGTGTTCTAATTACAAGTCCCAATGAACTTGTGATACTTCACTCGTTCACCAGGCACACATTCACTCACTTAGCTTCAGGACACTCTAAGCGTTAGGATGGAAATCAATGTAGGTAGAATGTAGTTGGACCATGCGACTTAGTGGTTGAAAGTTAAACGCCATGGCGTCCGGTGGTAGGAATCGAACTCCCGATTACCGGAGAAGCTGACTCGGTCAAAAACTGCGGTACACAAGAAATGTGACTACAAACCGAATACACTTGGTGAATTTTATTTCATGGGAAGGTGGTAGCGTAATAATAAAAGTATTCCGCTTTCAATCAATAGCGTTCCAGGTCAACTCATGCCCTATCTATCAAGGTTCCAAACATGACTTGACCCAAGTCCGAATATGTAAACGCGTTAAGACTACAAAAATTCAGCTCAAAGACAACAATAACAAGAACCTGTAATAAAATGTATTTTTGAAAAAAAATCTAATCCAATCTTCGAAACTATCTTCAACGAACTGATATTAATCACTAAATAATATATTTTTATCGGTTAAAATGGAACAAGAAATATGTATATATCTATGTTTAGTAGTCAGACAATAGCTATTCATCATTACTTCTTTCCAATAAATCTATGTAGTACAAGTACTAGTAGCTGGATTCATTTAAATATGTTGTTCTCGAAGAAAAAAAATATCAGATTCTTTGCAATAACAAATTTATTATAATTTTATAAGGGTAACTTTTACTGTTAGATGTAGAGATTTTATAACAAATTCAAATATTAAGCCATAACTATTCATGAAATTTGTGTCAGAAAGAAAAATTAGACAAAATAGGATAGTGTAGTCGTATGACTTTATGTTACACATACTACACGTAATATTGAAAGTATACTTCAAATGATAAACAAAATAATGTAATCTTGAAAAAAAAAATTCTTTTTGTAAAAACAAAAACCTCGATACTTTGATCAATATTATAGCTTGAGTGTTAGCAGGATTAAAGCATGCTCAATGCACGATTGCTTTGGTGCACGCTGATTAGCTAATTCTTATCCAATCAGCGTTAGCCAATATTTAGTGAACGCTAGAAATCTTCTCATGTGGATAACTATAAATATACTAATGTTTTCCCTAGTTTACTTCCTTACTTGCTTCTTACTTACATCTAACCTTGTTATTTGGAATATAATCTCTTTCCTGTTCAACCGTGTTCTGATTTGGGGACTTGTCGAGTGATTTGGTGTCCGAGAATACTAAGCAATAGGAATAGATGGGTCATAACCGTAAGAAAGAGATTATAACAGTGGACTTCCTCTATTGATGTGAATCAGTCAAAATTTAATATGACTGCATTTGATAACATTTTCATTTTGGATTATTATTTTTATTATCACTGGGGTTTTTTTAGATGCTGTGAAACTGCTCACTTAAAACTGAAAAGGAGATCGAATAGAATACACTGACTAGTAATTAGTTGGAAAGTGTAGCAATAGTTCAGTGGTTAAGGCACTTGACTTTTAGTCACTAAATCACATGTCTGGACCCAGATTCATCTACTTTGATCTGGGTAACCAGGTAGTATAGTTATCCCTCACACATAAAGTGTGGTTTAAACCTAGGAACATGAATTTGTACCTTGTGTAACGAGTGAATGACAATGTTATTGTCATTGTTTGCAATACTATGGTAACGAATCCTTCGAATTTTTGAAAGAGTTGAATGTATCCAAAAGTTGTTTTAATTGTAATAATTACAGTTGAAGACACTTGATAAAAGTCAAAAATTAGTTGCAGTAGCATAATCGCATTTATGCTTTTTCTTCCTCTAATGTACTGAGCTTAGTACCAATATATGCTCCTATACTTCAACACCTCAAGTTTAACTTTCCATCCCAAAAGATATGACTATTGCCTTTTCTCATCTTGTTAATTCATACTCTTGCTGTACTGATAATGTGTGTTGTGTCAACTTAAGGCGATAAACAGCTGTAGTATGCTGTCCTACATGTTACCCATGACCCGTTGACTGGTGGTCTGATGAAACACAGTACAGAAAAAAAACCAAAACAGCAGAAAGTATATTTGGTCTTTGAGCCTAACCGACACGTGTCACATTATGTTTTGCTTTGTCGAAATTTTGTACAATAATAGTCTAAAATGATACGACAGGAAAACAAACATATCAGCATCGAATTGTTGATGTCCAGTTTTATAAAACCGAAATCAAAATTTCTTTTTTATTTCATTTATTGAAATAACCTAGTCAAATTTTTTTCGTAACCTAGATACATAAACTATGAGTAAAGTAACCAATGAAAATACAACGTACAAGGTCATGGTCAGTAATGTATAAATACGACAGTTAGGTAATCATAAACTAATATAAAACAGACAGCGACGAAATATTCTAGTCATGCGGTTATTGGCTAACAATGTGAATCACCTGATTCTAAAATAGTGGTGATATATAAAAGAGATGAACACATGATAAGCTGGTTGTTAAACGAATATCATTTACATGAAATGATAACGAAAAAATATTCAAATCAATGGTCATGGTATGAGTAGATAGAAGTAAAACTTCTATTTTAAATTCTGTGTAGTCATACCAATTATTCATCAGGTGTGTCAAGATAGAGTTACGTATTGTCTTTGTCTGACTCTATCCAAAACAAACTGGGAGATGTACACTCATTCTTTGGTTACGTTGCTTGGTAGTACAACTAATATAGCTATCGCTACGGGAGCAGCTGAATTTTAAGATGCGCATTAAGGAGGTAAACTCAAGTAACTTATGCTGGTCTACTAATAAATGCCAACGCAAGGTTGGCTGTATAAAATGTTCTATTAACTGCTCTAGCTAATTTATCATGCGGGACTGAAAAACAAATCGAGATCCATTATAAACAGAGATGGATAGTGGCTAGCATTCGAAAACAGGTCGCGTGTTTCATCACACTAGAGACTCGTCAGTTGGATGTACCCAGAGTTGATTTTCGCTCCGAGACTCGAACCCAATACTGAGTGCGTCATTCACTTAGCCAGCGAGTCCAGATAGTCCCTGGCTTATGCTATGCAGTGAATTTTAAGTCATTTGTATTGCTTGTTTGAATCTCCACACAGATGTTGAGGACTGTTAGCCACCATCCATCTCCGCTTATAATGCTTGCAACACAATGGCAATATCGAGACAATCATTTCTGATGGAGTTTTGTTCCCTGACCTGGATGGTTTGGTCGTGGAGCTTTTATCGTTATTCTGAACGACATCATTAGCACAAGCTTCAGGTAGAAGTGAAGAGTTCGAAGTTCTCCGCACAGGATGCAAATATGCAAATACAAGAGACTGATCAATTGCAGTCCTTAACATATTAATAGGAAGATTCAAACAACCAATAAATGATGAATTAAGTCAAGATCCTCCAGACAATTTAATTCCATCGAAACAATCATAAGAAAATGAATTACTCACCTCTAAATTTGATGCCAGTAACAATTTTGAGTCGAATAAACTCGGTTCTATTGTCGATTGATTGTTATTTCGTAAAAATTGTAATAAAACATTTAAAATTGAACTGTCACCTTGTGATAGTTTATTTGTACATTTCTTATCTTGATGTTCATCAGTAGTAGGACTAGATGGAACGGCCTCAACTTCGACATATTCTAAAATAATAGAATAGAAATACACTATTAGTAATTGCTTGTACAGTTGTGACTGACTCAGTGATCTGGGAATTAAAGCTGGTTAGTCACTGAGTAATGACCAATGCCATGTTTGCCTAGTCCTCTTGGCAATGATCAGATTCTACCTATCAAGTTGCAGTCTTACCACTGGTCTAAATGACTCGACATCGTGAGCACTATATTGAGATGTTAGGTCAGTGGAATTTAATCAATGCTAAAAGACTACACAATAACGACAGTGATCACTACTCAGTGATCAATCACTTGTAAATATCTTATATCTATAGTACGTCAGTTATGGCGAAAATCTCTAAGTGGTAATATCTCAGACTGTGTAATACGATGATATGAGATAAAATCCGCCAGGAAGCATCACATCCCCCAAGTTTGCAGGCACACTTTAGTGACGATTAAAAAAATAGCACGAAACCCATATCAAGAGTTTCTTGTCGACTACTTTCAACCACTCAATATCTCAAAATATAGACTCACATTTCAACCTCAAGGCTACGGCTTTAGTGTTCAATTTTATAACTTTTGCCACATATGCTGATAAACTGAATACATGTTTAATTTATAGTTTAATGTTAGATTCAGTTGCCCCGGTTGAATATGAATGTGTTGACCTGCAAAACACAATCCTATTTGAGAATTCGACGATATTGCTCCCTAGTTAAGCATTATAATAATCTGATAGTTGATAATCAAATGTTAAGACGAACGAATTATAGGTATTTAGCTTCTTACAAAAATAGGGAAAACGTGACATTCATAAAACGTTTAATGACTACACTGAATAAATAGAAATTACACATAAGAAGGCTAATAATTTTTTACATGAAACATTATGCCATGAAACTGTCTAAAATCTAATCAAGTAATTGACTTTAACAGGCTACTGTTTAACTGGTAATCAGTCGTATTTTAAGACTACTGTCCATGTGGCGTCAGAGATATGAATCAAGATCAAAAGAGAACCACTTTGCTATAAATGGTTGCAGTTAAAAAAACTGTAGATATTTAGAAGTTCTATAACAATTAATGTGCCAGTATTATATTTCAGATTTTGGACAGGAAATATACACCGAATGACTAACGCATGATGTACATCCATCGACAAGAGTGATCATATTTGTTCATTGGACTCAAATTTAACTCGTGTCAAGCACAAGCTTATATACTTTGATTTGAGATATACCCTACTTGTATGACGGCTAACTATGCTGCCACGCTGCTCAAACCGGTTCAGATAGAGTGAGGTTATAACATGAAAATTATTGATTGAAAGTCAGGTCCTTTAAACACTAATCTATAACTCTTGTAAAGTAGAAGTCTTGCAGTGATGAACGTCAACTACTTAGTTTAAAATCACTTTGGAACAAGATGAACAAATAATTACTAAATAATATTCAATAAACTCAAATGTCATATGATTCACTATGGACTAAATTACAGTCTTCAAGCACTATTTGTTCAACCTGGCACATTAACTATGATACTGATATACCGAGAACAAAAGAATATTATTATTTTAAAATACATTAAAAACTTCTATCTAAAACAATACTCTATATGACTGACTAATACTACTACTATCACTATATAGATCCATATCAGTAAAATATTCACTGTTATAACACGATATAATGTGTTTCTTATTGGAAGCAACTAATTAGAATAATTTGATTTTTAATTGTTCAACATGAGAAATCGACCAATTAAAGTTCAATATAAACAATAAACAAATAGAACTAGTTTACGGAAATGTGTGGAGTTTTATTACTATTCCATAAACAAAGAACAATCGATAAATTAAACTGCTTGGAATAATAAAAGACCATTTGACTTTAAATTTCGATTTTGTGTTTAACATGTGACTTTAGCAACAGATCACTTGAAACTTAAACGAGTTTTTAATGTAAACTTTTATCATCATTGGATAGCAGTCAGAAGTGACGTCAGGAAAACTATCTAGAACTCGTCAGTTAACTGGATGTATCTTCATCCCAGTGTTGATGTTTACACAAATATTCAAACTAATAGTTTACGCTTCAAATCCTAATAGATTATCCGTTGAGCTAACAATTCTAGGTAGCCATCAACTTATTTAATAGATATGATGTTTACATACTCTTGATGATAATAATGCAAAACTCTAGAGTATTCCAGTTTGATAACTATCTCTTTCAATATGAGCAAACCGAAATATTAATTAAGGAAATTTATTTACAGAATAACAGTATTGAATGTCAACTTCCATTAGCTCTGTTCACATCCATCTAAGATGTATATGGAGAAATCATGCAACACGCATCAATAATTACGTTGAGCAGGAAAAAATGTTATCGAGTTTATGAAAACTACTAAACGCCACAGATCGACACGTAGATAACCACTTTACATGAACTTAATGGACAATCTGGAATATTCCTGGATGCTATAACCATGCTAGGTGAAGGTTGAATAGTCGTTTTAACAGAATACGTTAAAACTCAAAAGGCTGGATATTCATTTACCTCCGTCAGATGAATACGGTAAAGTCTGGCTCCACAACAAACCTGAAATCAGTAAGTAAACACTACAGGCTCCCTTATGAAATTATGTTATCAATGATCGGTTAGCTAATAAACACTGACTGGGTCAAAAGGACAAGCAAACATAGCGTGAAATCATACGCAGATATATATCTCAAGTGATCACACAACACAAACCAATTCAATAAAATGGATGATTTTAAAATATAAGCTAACAAGGAAACGGAAATAAAAATATCCAGTTTCACAAATTAGACGGTGAGTTTTGAGTAATGTTACCGACTCTCGGGCGTACCAGGGCATTTGGGGGCAATGTTACAGAACAGAATAAAAATGTGTGGGTTGAAGTACTGAAAGACTTTAGTAGATAAACATAAACCAATGTCCTTTAAGTTACCTAAAAACCACAAAGTAAGCAAGTTACAGTGTAGAACATATAACACAATGGAAAAGTATAAACTGTGATAAGGAAATTATATAGTTTTTATAAGAACAAAATTATAGGAGAGATTTTGGCGTTAGAATAATAGTAACCGATCATGTATAGTGTATAGTTACCTCTATAATTATATGTGAAAAAAAACAAAAGCAACACTAGTGTATCAACTAAAGTCTCAACGTAGGACCATTTCCAATAGGCATTCGAAAATATCATTCCTCTTTTTTTCTTTTATTTCTGTGTAATAACAACTTTTGACAGATGCACTATTGTGTTGTCAAGTTGTTTGAAACTGGATAAACCAAAACTTCTAATATGGTATTTAAAGACTGTTTCTTCATGATTTATCAGTGACGTTTTTTTATTTATGAATGTTAACCGTTTGCCGACTTTTTATTTCACATTGTAGCTCTCTGAAGTGAAAAAACTTGGGATGATAGATCATTATTACAGATTCCTTTTTGTGTTTTGATCGGTTAGTTAATTGACTACTTTAGACAAAATATCTATGGCAAAAAAGAATACGGGTGTATATTAACTAACCATTCTGGAATGAATAAACCGGGAACCCAAAATGGTAGCCCGATTGTAATGGTAAAAGGATTAAAAGTAACTCGGATATATTGTATAGCTATGTAAATACAAATCAATAACAACATATAGTTTTAGTCAGTCAGTTACAACGTAGGACCAGACACATATATGCATCATTTCAAGTTGCCACACCTCATTAGCACAACAAGATGAACACCAAATTCATAGAAGTAGTTACTTCAATGATAGTAATATATAAAAGAAAGATTGTGTATAATCATATAATACAGGAAGAAAGAATTAATTTGTACAAATAAAGGTATAAAGTAATTTTAATCTCACGGTTTAAGGGAAGAAAGAGAGTGTGTACACCTACGCCGTTGTGATCGATTCTCAGCCATATCATCCACAGTCTCCAACCATTGGTTGTGATAGTCGCGCGGACCCCAACCAAGTAGTATGCATCTATCAACATCGCTCAGGCTAGAAGTTAGTCACTTCAAGGACTGATGCCACATTTTAGTTTGGCCGCCCCTAACCTTCTTCCAACCATCCCCAACACTAGTCAGCATTGCGCGTCGTGGTAATCGGTGTTCAGGTATATGTAACACGTGGCTCAACCATCTCAGTCGATGAAGATTTACAACCTCATCAACTGATTTACCATCATTCTATAATACCCTGCGTCTAGCCTCACTATCACTACCCGGTGATCCAGCAGATGTGAGCAATATTTCTAAGACATTTATGATCAAATACTAATATATTACGAGTATATTTTACCACTAATGGTCACGTTTTGCAGCCGTAAAGTAGAACAGAACGAACTGTTGCGCAGCATACTTGTCCCTTAATTGGCAGACGGATATCTCGCTTTCGCCATAGGTGACGTAAGTTGACAAAAGGCAAACGATATTTTTGAGATACATAGTTTAACTCGTTATATCATTGAAAAATAGGAACAAAAACATAATATCCAATGATTGTGGAGGTCAAAAAGTTCGGCTTAACCAACCAATTGTATATCGACAACCCAATTTATTCATAAGTGCTTTGAATATAGTGCAAATACATGAGATTACATTATATTCAGAAGCGATAAAATTTATTTGTTCAACCTCACCTTTAGTGGAGTTGAAATCTGATAATGTAAGTGACTGTGTATTTGAACTGCTTTTCATCCAGTTGTCTATATCAGTGAAATCTTCATGAACTGATGGAGTGCTATCGGTTTCCGGTAAACTAAGAATATCTGATTCACAGTTCTAAGTAAAGATAAAATGAAACCATTTAGGTCATTAAATAACAACGAAATAAGTGATGTGAAATTTTGATACTAATTAAACACATGTTTAAGCAGCCTACATAACAATGTAAACAGATGGCCTAATGAATTAAGCACTCGATATTCAGTTAATTGACAAGAAATCCAAACCTGGTTCTGCTTTATTTGCCCTGGTTGACCAGCTAGTACCATTATCCCTCATACGAAAGAGTAAAGTTCAAAGCCGAGTATATGAACTTGCATGTAGCATGTGAGTTACACTGTGATAATCTATGTAAAAACTAGTTTCATTCATAATTTTAAGATAAGCCATCAGTCGTAGTATTTTATCACTATACAAGTGGAAAATGGCGATTGTCGAAACAATGCAGCAGATTTATACTAATCATTGATAAGTACAGCTACTCAAAAACCATGTACGCAGTAGTCAATACTGAAGTGTATAGAAAAATAATTACAACCTACAAACGGGAATATAAATAGTGAAGATGGTTTATACTTAAAATGGGATCAATACTTCGAGTGCCTAGATTACACAATATAGCATTAGTGGTGTCAGTCATTAACACAATCAACATTGTTGAGCCTTAAAACTTCTCGAACAATAAACACATTATAACAACTAGAAACTGGTAATAGATAAGTGTAATACATGAGCTTACAATGTGTGATACGATCAATAAACAATAACAAGGGAAAAAGATCCATGCATATAAACATCTAAATAACGTCATATACATATACAAGGTTGCCCAATCTCACCATTCCTTTTGAACTTTGCCATCAATGACATTCTGGAAACAGCCCTGATGGATGTAAGTAATGGTGGTGTAGATCTGTTGCCTGGAGAAAGACTTCTCGACCTTGAGTATGCGGATGATATTGTCTTACTGTGCGATAATGCCCAAGCCATGCAATCCGCACTTAATCAGTTGGCAATCAATGTCCGTAGGTACGGTATGTGCTTTGCACCTTCGATGTGTAAAGTACTTCTACAGGACTGGCAGGATTCTAATCCTGTATTCACCCTGGATAGTGAGCAGATAGACGTAGTCGAGAAGTTCGTGTATCTGGGTAGCTGCATAAGTGCTGGTGGGGGTGTGAGTGATGAGATCAATGCACGTATAGTAAAAGCCAGAGCGGCTTATGCCAATCTAGGCCACCTTTGGAGCCTTTGTGATGTCAGTCTGGCTGTAAAATGTCGGATCTACAACGCGTCGGTGGGATCAGTTCTGCTCTATGCTTGTGAAACCTGGCCTCTCCGAGTTGAGGATGTTAGACGACTCTCTGTATCTCCGAAGGATTGCTGACATCCAGTGGCAACACCATGTCAGTAATGCAGAGGTTCGGCATCGTGTGTTTGGGCAGAGACGATAATCCAATTGGTGCCACCATCTTGAAACATCGACTTCGATGGCTTGGACATGTTCTATGAATGTCATCCTAGAGAATTCCACGTCGCGTATTACTTGCCGATTTTGGGACTGGTTGGAAAAAGCGTAGAGGTGATCAGTTTATGACATGGTGTCGTGGGATGAAAGAAAGCTGCAAAGGACTGGCTTCTGTTGATCCTTCACGACTCCCTGGCTGGGGTTCGAAAGATGGTACGACACAATGGATAGACACGTTATCAGATATGGCTCAGAATAGAAGCCAGTGGCGATCCTGCTGTAACCTTATCTTACTTTCTTCATAAAAAGTGGTTGCATCTTCCTTAACTGGAAGATTTCTTCTGATTGTACCTTTCCGTTTCCCCCATTATTACTATTATTATTACACTACCTTACACTAATCTGTACGTTATTGTTTTTTTATCTTCCCATTCTCATTGTTTTGTTGGGCGCATATATATTTGGTGCCCTCTTGTACCAACATTTATGTGTTCAAATAAATAAACAAATACGTGTTTATAAATAAATGTATACATACATATATCTCTAACATACTAGGTTCTAAGACACTTATCTGTAAACTCAATTGAGTATCTTGAAATTTTATACTGCGCAACACTTCCTCTTGGAATATAATCATTCTCTAAACATAGTTTTTTTAAAGGTTGTACTTAAAACAACTAGAGACGTCCCGGATCTCAGCTTTATAACTGTTGGGACTCCACTTACAAAATCATGATGCACTAAGACTTCAAACCAATATGAATATTTCTCACTACATTAACATTCACCTTTATATCTTTTTGACCAGTCATTATAAAAACAGACCATTATTGTTACACTTGCTGCAGAAATATTGAATATCAAATGTACTCAAGAGGTTCAAACTAACGTTCCAAAACTAAAACAGAAGTGCATGAAGTAAACAACAGAATAAGTTTATATTTTTCATATCGTGTAGAGGTCTACCACACATACACAGGATCGAACATAAAAACTGAAATGTGATAAATCAGTGCCTACCTTGTAAGTAGTATTAGCTTTGCCTTCCAAAAAATGTCAAATAAAATGATTACCTACCGTCATCTTTGGTCAACTATCTCAATATATATGACGAATTTTTGCACTATATTATCAAGAGATATGATTCTTACAGTTTTTACTAGCAATCATTATTTATGCGTTGAAGATAAACCAATAAACAAATGCAAACAAACCTATGTATATGTTTGGAACTTATCTATTTCACATTACATGCGTTATTATTTCATTTAATTACATACATGAATCAGCCTTTTAAAGGATGTTACTCCGCCTTTTTCAAATCTAACTTATGTCACACTTTGCCACAAAGTACAACAGTCAAGAATCTTCGAGTTGAGCGACCGTGTTTACTAGAGCTCAGATAAAAAGCTGCCTGGAAATCCCTTGAAGTGTAAGGGTACCTCAGTTTTCTTAACAAAGATAACTAAACAATGATGCCACCGGTACAAAGCCACTTTATATCATCTCTAGCTACTTGAACTTATTTTTTGGTTTAGTCAGTAACTGATCAACATTATAATAGCCAATGAAACAGCAAAAGAGACTAAATATTCTTCAGTTTATACAACTTAATTTTTTTCAAATAACTACCTAGTGCAATTTCTAATAACAATTCAGTATATGGAAAGTAACAGTGCTTCATCAAGTGCCTAACAATCTGTGTTGTATGAGCAACCGCTAGGAGCATCACACAAAAGCATACTAATTAACAGTAGATGAACAACTACAAATTATTGTGAAGCAAATAGATTATACCGAATTTCGCCACCAAAAATACATTAAAAGAGGAATACTAACTTACTTCTAAATTAGATACATCTTTAGATGTTAACAACCTGAGTGTTGGTATAAATGAATGTTCCCCAACTTCTGTGCACTTTGTAGCTAAAGGAGATTTTGCTTTACACTTGATACAAACGTAGCAATTTTTACACAATCTGTGAGAATAAACGACGATTTATATACATTAACTTACAAGCACTGCAGGAACTCATCAGACAATAAATCGCCACAATTGGCACAGACGATAAGACAGTTTGATTGCGGTTGACTTGAAGGATCGCGCTCCATTTCAGATTCAGAATTACTCAGGATATCCCATGAATCCCCAGAGTCGTTGGACAGGCATTCAATAGATTCATCCCCCATTTTGCAGACTATGCAACTCCAGTAAACTCCGGCAACATAGACCAGCTGATTAGAGATTCGTCTAACTACCCTCCTTCAAAATGCTCGATGTACAATCTCGTTGTCGTTGACTTATATAAACAAACTGATTTATTTGCTCTCATTTCTTGTTGTTTTAGTACGGCTCCAGGTGTTTGTTGCAATCTAATAATTGATATTCCAGTCACTCGACTACACTAATTACAGTTAGGTAGGTATTTAATTGTGAATTTGTACATCTGTGGTTGACCAAAATACTTGTGGCATCTTCAAATTTCTTTAACTGATAATTTGTGAGATGAAATTGAAAGAAGGGGAACAGAGATGATAGGAGAGTTTGAGACTAGTTGTAGTATGCGTTACAGATAAACGTGGTAAATTACCAGACATAAAACAAACCCTGACAGCCCAACTAGTTCCAAATGAATGAGATTTTGTTTAACGGGTCTCCGTATCTAGTAGCACTGGACCACCGATGACTCCAGGTAAGAACTGGGGTATATTTAATGACAAAAAAGAAAACATATTAGTAAATTATGGTGAGATACTGTCCTTACTTCTCAGGAATGTGTCGATTTTTCTCCTAAAGTACTCCCAGAAAGTCACTTGGACTAGCTCAGCCAACAGATAACTTCAGCATTTAACTACTCTTAGTTAACGTAAGAGTTTAGATAATGTTTTATCAACACTCTCAAGTCTTTTTTTAACTTAGGAGATCTCTGTGGGGGAATTATTTATTTTGTATTCTCAGCCTATAACATGTGTCAGATTGACTAGTTTATACTTAAGAGTGTTGGTGTTGTCCACTCGATTCAGATCTTCCTATAGCACAAGTTTATCATCTGCACACACTTCACTCCAGAGTATCTGTGGTGCTTGAATTGACTAATGATACCTTTGTACTTGTTGATTGTACGATTCGTTTGTGCTTGTGTTTTCTTAATTCAATTGCGTTATTTCTTGCACTCTTAGTTCATGCTATAATTCAAATAATTCGAAACATTATACTGGCGTCGCGATTGAGCCTGCAATGGAAAAGTTAGACATTCATTCAACTTCTGAAGCTTTTGAGGATTATTTCGAAAGGTTCGAAATCTGGGTCATGACCAAGGAAGATGATGAGGATGTTAATATTGTGGCATATTTCCTCACATTCATCGGTAAAGAAGAATACAGTTTATTAAGAACTCTGGCTATGCCGAAAAAGCCCATTTCGCTTCCTCATACAATTCTCAAGGAATTACTACTAGACTATGTCAAGTATGCAAATTTTGATTGCAGTAAAAAAGGGAAATTTCCAAAAATAATTCATCAGGACATCAAAATTTCTACTACATCACGTCGTCCCAATCCAGTGCATACTCAGGTTTATGCAGAGAATTCATTGAGCAGTTGCAGTGCGTTTCACGAAGATTGGCACAAGTTTGGTCAATGTTTGTCTTGTGGCAAGTTCCACGCTTTTAATTCATGTAAATTTCGTAATTCCAAGTGCTTTAAATGTGATGATATTGGATATATTCAGTTAGTCTGTAATACTAATGTTCATGTTATTGCAACTAATATTAAGTCTTGTAATTCTGATTCTACTGAGTCGAGTATTTATAATGATGATTTATCTTTATCAGCTATTGCAATAGACAGTGTAGAGTCACAAAGCAGTTCAAAGTTAAATCAAATTCAGAATTCTTGCGAAACAACAGTTTCTCACCAATCGATTTATCAGAATTCTCATGCTATTGTACCAGGTATGGTTTTTCCTGGTGATTCACATATTTCTGATGAAACTCCTTGCAAATCTGAAGAAAATATTTTGAGTGAACATAATTATGATCGAAAACCTGATGTAGTTTTGACAGATGCTCATTTTTCTAATGATCCATTACTCTGCAATGACATTCTTAATGGATTTCATGTGAATATTTCAGAAGAATCAAATCCTGATGTTATATCATATATTACCTATCCTTATAATGCATTCGATCCTTGTGAAAAACCTGTTCAGTGCGAAGCACGAGTATTAAATGAGCTCAATTTTGATTACAATTCGGATGATTTCATACCAACTGCTGTTCATCTGTAGTGGCATTGGACCATAACCACACAATTCTCAAAGCTGAATACGAGATTACTCGGAAAATAGATATTCAATATTTAACGCGAAGAAATACCTAACGATGGAGAAGGCGCGAATAATGAACTGAATGAATTAGAGTTGGTCGAACGGCATGGCTCGGCCATGCAGGTGTGGTCTCTGCTGAATGTTACCTTATATCATTTATTCATATTAAATATATTGTTCTTTCTATAGCCTAACCTTGTTCTACATCATATATTGGTAATTGATACGATACAGTGAGTTGGTGTAGTCGATGGTGTGACTTCCACGTAAGATCTTATAGATTAGGCAGTTATATCATGACAAATCCACAGATTTAGAATTAGGTCTATTATTATAGCAGTACTAATATCATAGTAGACCATAATTCTACACATCCTTATCATAAATCCACTTCCAATGTATACTCTAGTCAATGTGAGAATTATGTTTTAAATGAAGTCACATTATTCATAACTTGGGGATATAAAGATCCAACATTATTTCGTGGGGGAGGATAGTCTTGAAAAATATATGGTTCCAACTCTAGATATTAATATTTCGGTACGAAACCGACATGCTGATTATATACAATTCCAGGTTAGTCTGTTCCGATTCCGTTTGATAATTCCAATACTAATGAGCATATTCTAGATACTACAAAGTTTTTATCCAATAAAATATCGGACAGACTCAGGACGAACTTAAAAAAGACGTACAACCAATTAAAGACACTTATACACCTATTTAAGCTGTGGCGGATGTGGTGTTTGAATTGACTAATGATACCTTTGTACTTGTTGATTGTACGATTCGTTTGTGCTTGTGTCTTCTTAATTCAATTGCGTTATTTCTTGCACTCTAAGTTCGTGCCATAATTCAAATAATTCGAAACATTATAGTATCACATCATCAGCGAAAAGTGACAAATCTGACGATAACTGCTGAGGAAGGTCGTTTACATAAATCAAAGAAAAGAGAGGTCCTAGTACCGAACCCTGAAGGACCCCACTAAGACATTCTAGAGCCTGAAAACGTAAATCTATCATGACTTCAAAAATTCGATTGTTAAGATATGAAGTAAGCCAATCAATTTACGGTGACTTGATACCTAGTTGTTTGGACATATTGATAAGACATATATCACTGACCCTATCAAAAGTTTTTGAAAAGTCAAGGTATATTACATCGACCATCCCCTTGCGATCAAGGTTGGTTGTCCATCTGTCGACCGCGGCCAGAAGTTCGATTATACAAAAGTGACCTTTCCTGAAACCGTGCTGTTGGGGTGAAAATAAGTTTATCGATAACATGCAGCCACATAGACCACCGTATATCAGGGACTTCATATTTGTAGACGGTATTGACAGAAGTGATACCGGCTGGTAGCTTAAAGGTTCCTTACATTGGCCTCCCTTTAATATTGATGTAATATGAGTAGGCTTCCAATTCTCTGTAACTGTACTTCGGTTTAGCGAATGTGAGAACATCAGGCTAAGTGGTTTTGCATCATCTAATACGGAAGTCTGTCTTCTCTTATTGCCTTTACGCATTGTTACCTTACTTATCTGAACTGTCTGTATGTACTAATGTCACTAGTTTGTTGACATTTCACCCTGTAGTGCTTTTTGCGTCTTAGCATTCGAAGTGTGTGACTTTCAATGACTGATAGTACTTGTAATATTTGAGGACTGGTTGTGTGACATGTAGAATTATGGTCTACTATGATAATAGACCTAATTCTAAATCTGTGGATTTGTCATGATATAACTGCCTAATCTATAAGATCTTACGTGGAAGTCACGCCATCGACTACACCAACTCACTGTATCGTATCAATTGCCAATACATGATGAAGAACAAGGTTAGGCTATAGAAAGAACAATATATTTAATATGAATAGAAGATATAAGGTAACATTCAGCACAGAACACGCCTGCATGGCCGAGCCATGCCGTTCGACCAACTCTAATTCATTCAGTTCATTATTCGCGCCTTCTCCATTGTTAGGTATTTCTCCGCGTTAAATATTGAATATCTATTTTCTGAGTAGTCTCGTGTTCACAGATTTGTGAATTGTGTGGCTATTGTTCAATACCACTACAGACATACTGTTTTGTAGCACATAAGATGGTGTGCAGCAAGAAATCCAAATGTGCGTACGCATCATATTTAGGTGGATCTACCCAGCTTACCTACTGTAGATTAACCTGTATCAGTGACACATCTAACAGTTGTAATTCCAACGCTTGTTGTTAGCAGAGTGTTTTAGCTCAGTTTTGCTGATAAAATTGAAGGCTAAGACGGCACGATCTTTTTTTTCAGAGGAACCACGAGGTTGTCAATCAGTAATTTTCCGTTGGTTAATATGCAATTTAAGCGTGACGGCGTCTGATTATTTCATGTAACATCACGTGGCCTGTCCAGGTGAATCGGAATTCCAGTTGGTAGCCGACTTCTGTTGGCACGAAACGATTCGAAAATGGCAGCCGCCATTTGAAATATAGAAAAATTATATTAATTAGCCAGGGCTAAGGATCAACGCTGTTTTTTGCTAGTTGCCACACCTGTTGAGTTCCTATATCTTTAAGTACCAAGGACGGCTTTATGAATTTTCACTCTAGAATATGATAGTTTGCACAGTCATGGTTCGCGTTTTTTAGAATACCCTGCACGATTAGATTTCTTCCGCGACAGAACGTCTCGCACGATTCCCTAGGGATATTCCTGATAGGATTGTGCTCATAATATGGTATGTCGGGTAGTATTCTCACATCGCCTTCCGATTTCACCAAGTGACTGGTCAGCAGAACATCCCCATAATCAGCAGTTATACCGGACACTACACTAGGGAGTCCCTAATGATTTTGGTGCTTGAAATCTTCTCGGGTAAGCTGTATAACCATAAGTAGCTCAGTTTCGGGAAGTGTATGCTTCCTGTTCAACTCTTCTTAGATCATCCTGTCATCTTTGTCCTACAGACTTAAGGGAAAGACAAAGTTGTCATCAGGGTTTATGATTATTAAAGAATCATGTCGAACCGTATTCGATTTCCCAGGTTTTCGAATGCATTCATGTCGAGGTCTTTTTTCGTTTGACAGTTGGATTACGTTTCGGATTCATGTGAACTTTGCTGACTGGTTGGACTATGTAAAAGGTACATTGCAAGGCAGATGCACTAGCTGATTTTTCTATCAGACCTGGGATGTCCGGCATTTTTGATGGTGATACTCGATTTTTTTTAACCCTGTTGGCAAGGGCCTAGTCACACACAGAAGCTAAGCGCTCATGCTCGAAACCTAAGGCCTGGGTTCTAATCCCGTGTTTGGGGTCGTGAATGCGTACTGCTGGGTAGTCATATAATGGAACGAAACAGCCGCCTAATTCATCCAGGTTTAGTGGTGAGCTAACATTGATCGATTATTGGTCTCAATCAAAAAGGCTTACAGAGTGTTTGAGGGCCACAATTGCATTTAGGGAGTCTGTGCTGAGAGAAACAAGTTTGCTGAGAGAGTTACATGCTGTCAGTTTTATGGCGGTGTTGCGTTTCAGCATATCATCACTGGTGTCAGTGAACTGCACACCGATACTAATTTTGCTGAAGACCCTCTTCTTTGCTTCATTGTGCGTCTTTGTTAATCCGTTTCAGGACTGCTTTTTTCGGGGCTGTTGGGAGATTTTTTCGCAGGTCTGTCAAGAAAACGATGATATTGCTCAGCGAATCTCCAGCATTCATGTTGCATGTGCCACACACCCACCTTTTATGGAAATTACTAAGTACGTTGTAAGCAGTTACCGTATGATCTGTGCATACTTCGTGAAATCAACCTTTGTATTTGCCACACTGAACACTACAAGTGTCGGCAATATAACATCCACGTCGTTTATGTGAGTTATGAGTGATCATGGTGAAATATGGGTTGTTAGATAGATGCCAGCCAAAGTTTACGATCTCAAACAAAAAACAGTATGGAACTGAGGATTTAGGGGGATTATAGTATTTTAACAGTTAAAACCAAATATCTGAGTCAAACCACCATTGAAAACCTAGGAGCACTGGACGGTTGTTTCGTCCAGCAGTGTTATTTTTGGCTCAGAGGTTTAGAAGTTAAGCGGTTGCAATCCATGGAAGCGTATGTATTTGTCAAATTTCCTCTTAAAACCATCTGTTGGGCGAACCATGGTCACTTCAGCTGAGAGAGCACTCCAACTGAGGGTAACCTAATGAAAAATATTGAGTACGTACATGGGTGTTCGTTCTCTAAATTGCAATCTTTCGACGGTTTGTAGAATTATGGTCTACTATGATATTAGTACTGCTATAATAATAGACCTAATTCTAAAATTGTAGATTTGTCATGATATAACTGCCTAATCTATAAGATCTTACGTGGAAGTCACATCATCGTCTACACCAACTCACTGTATCGTAACAAATACCAATACATGATGAAGAACAAGGTTAGGCTATAGAAAGAACAATATATTTAATATGAATAAATGATATAAGGTAATATCAGCAGGGACCACACCTGCATGGCCGAGCCATGCCATTCGATTAACTTCAATTCATTCAATTCTTTATTTGCGCCTCCTCCATCGTTAGGTATTTCTCCGCGTTAAATATTGAATATCTATTTTCCGAGTAATCTCGTATTCAGCTTTGAGAATTGTGTGGTTATGGTCCAATGCCACTACGGGTTGCCTTGAGGAGCTTGGCAATGATATTCTGGCAGAATAATCGTTCATTATATGGGTTAGTGTATTTAATATATTGTATGTTATTGTAAGATCTCCTTACTCAATTTCAGTAATAACAGTAGTTGGAGTCTGCCTTCGGAAGATTTGTGTTTTATCCCTAACACTCACTTGGTTGGCTTCGTGTGATTATGGTCTGGTTTCGTATTAGTGCACTTACAATTCTGCCAGAATAACGGACTTAATCTCAAAATTGCAGATTTGTCACCTAATCTATAAGATCTTACGTGAAAGTCAAATCATAATCTATAACAACTCGTCCTATCGTTACATTCAGCAATATGATGATTAGCACTTCTGAAAGAAGCATTCTGTCTGGGTATAGAGTAATATATTTCGCATAAAAAATGTCACATAGATTGCCCACATCAGCATGGACGAACCATACCATGCTGTTAAAGCGTTCCTGCGTTCACCATTTTTCCAACCTTCTCTAAATGCAAATATCCTGAGTTATTGTGTATATATCTTCAAGGTTCAGGTGGCTGAAAAACAATATTACTACACTATTCTCTGTACCTGGTTCAAGAGATTTATGTCTTTTTTTTAGCGAGGAGGCAACAATACTGTGGACTTCGAAGTGGGTCCATGCGTTTGCTTTACAGCCGAATGTCTGACGGAGATAAAAGGGCAGGATTCTACACAGAAACAAATTTAAATACTTATCGGTAAAATTACTAGTTATTCCGTTCGATGGTATTTTGGTGTGTCCTCAGAAGCGCCATGTACGAGAGATCCGCCACATGTCTTAAGGTCACATGGTTTTCAAGAAAAATAATAAAATATCAAGCATAAATCAACGTAAAAGTACTAATAGATCTGTTCCTGGGAGCTTCGGCCGTCTTCAGTACCTGCAGAATCTGGTTAACGAATATCAGCAAACTGAAATAACGGAACACAAGGAACAGGTTTGTACTTGTTAGTTTCTATTGCTCAGGTTTTAGCCAATCTTGCTAATTTCTGCTACGATTCTCGGAACGGCCCACAACTTCGTCAATTGCGCGTCATTGATCTCTTTTTTGACTGCATCTTAGAACCATCAAGTGCGTGGTTCAAAGCTGGTAAGTTTAGGCATTTAATGGCCTGTATTTTTATCTGGGGTCACCTCAAAATTAGTTTTCTGCTGCTTTTATTTTTATTTTTCCCGTTGAAACTATAATTTACGACCTTTGAGCGATGCTAGTGATTTTGAGCATGTCCACTTACTAACTAGGACTAAGTGCCCGAGCTGCCAACTTTGGGGAAAATGGAGTCCATTTTGGGGAAATTTTGGGGAAGCCGCTATAATAAATTTTGGGGAAATTTTGGGGAAATGAGAAAAAAAACCCAAAATTTCCCCAGACCTGGGGAAATCCCCAAAATTTCCCCAACCCTTGGGGAAGGTTGGGGACTCATGAGTGCTATAAATCAGTGTGAGGAGTTAGATTTAGGGTTTTCATCACGAACTGATGTCAGCTAAAGTTCCACAAGGCCATTTGGTCAAAATGGATGGGCTACACGCCAAAATTATCACATGTAATCTTATATCTGCTTAGCTCGTCCATAAATTATAGTTTCGCCGTGTTTATGTCGATTCGTCTCTAACATGATGGATGAACAAAGATATGCAGGATAAACTAAACCGGGCATATATTTGTGTATTCTTATTGATTGATTACATAATCATGTATTACTTCGTGTCTACCGAAAATGAGGTAGCTAGCGTTTAGTTTTACATTGGGTATCGTATATTTCATAACAAAAATGTGCTAATGGCTTCATAAAATACACACTCAGCCGCATTACCATTTTTGTATGCGGTCTTTAACGATACATTTTGGATTTAATTCTCATCTGTTTACACACTCACATTTGACACATCACAAAAGTTGAGTTCAATTTTCTGACAATGTACCTTCTCCTTTTATCACTATTACCTATTCTAATCATACCTGTTATTCAGCATGCATTGTAACATCATGTTCAGAACACTTGTTACTCATTGCATCATTTTTAACCCTCCTATTCCGTCTTTCGACGTATCCTGAACTTGCTGCTTTAAAATGTGATAAGTCAAATGTCTCAGTATAAGCCAAATGGAAGGAATATTCCACTTCAAAGTTGCATATATTGGTGGAAAACGCTTGACTTTTTATGACGAGATCTCAATACAGATCCAGAACGCTCGTCTTTTGCATTGGTTGAACAAACTGTAGGAGGTAATTAACCTCGTCTACTTATCTCAGAATCCTGATTAGCCATAATGAATTGGTGCTCAGCGAAATATCAGCACGGTTTCAGAGAGATTGTCTGGATCCTGGGAACTTGCATCACTCGTAGCATAAACAAAGTGTACATCTAACGACCGAAAGTTTAGCATACAGCTCAGCAGTCCACTATATATTATTATATTGCTCTAAAACAGTCTTCAAAAACAGGACATTCGTGAACTACGGGTATTTTCTTCATAAATGTTCTTAGAGCGTTGTGTTGCGTATGGTGGGAGCATAGAGCACTGTGTTAAGGTTAGATACAGGAGGCTAGGTATGAATGGCGAACCGGTTTTTAAGGCTGTAAATCTTCGTCGAATGTGGCTATTAGGACATGTGTTACGTACGATCAACCACCATCTACCTCGACCAGGAATGTTTGCTGGTGTAGGGGCACGTCGGAAAAAATCTTGGAGCGTTTAAACCTAGCACAGCACCAGTCTGTAAAGCCATTAGCTGTTTATTTATTTATTTTTATTTCAACACATAGATATTGGTACAAAGAGGCACCAAATACATATGCGCCACACAAATCTCATTCGATATGTGTGAGGGCTGTGATACTGCCCGGGTGTCCAAACCGAAGCAGGTGGTTTTCTTAGGGGGCCATACCCCGAGCCTTCGACCTGAGGGTCTGATCTACAAGGCAGTGGAAAATCGTAAGGAAATGCAGTCCCATGGAAGCCGGTGACCAACAATTGGTTCATACGCCATTTGTTCCCGCAGGATACTGGAGCCCATGTGCACCATTGATTTGGGATCCGGTTAAAGCGCCGGACATTCGCTCTTCGTCCTCTCATTTTCGTAAACAACACCCCCGCCACGAGAAGGCAATGAGTAGGACTTCCCTGGCAGAGGCTATATACGCGTGGTTATGTGAGAGCATTTCGAGAGGGAGAGAGGACTCTCCCCACTCTCGGCCGTACCAGGGTATTTTGGGGGCTCGACATACAAGTGTACGATCCCACATTGAAACAGCATCATTGCCATCTCACCCACTATGGAATCATCCTTCTCTGTTGTTCCCAATGGCTGGAACAATCGTTCCTCAAGGTTCTACCATGCCAGACAGGTCGGTTAAAGGGCAGTAAAACTAAAAGCAGCAAACCCAAGTTCAGATGGCGAATTCGTACTGCTGATAGTACACATGTGTGACGGTAGTAAGGTGTTCCCTTCAGACAATCAGCATAACAGCGCTGCTGCCTTCCCACAAGGATGGGTGGAGTTCGAATAGGTCGACCCTAAAAATGCATATATCGCCTTATCCCACGGATTTCCGTTTCCTGTGGTAATGTCCCAACAAGTACGGAGCTAACACAAAAACTCACAAAAAGGTCGTGTGAGACCGAACTCCGTCTATCAATTAAGGGACAAGTATGCTGCGCAACAGTTCGTTCTGTTCTACTTTACGGCTGCAAAACATGACCATTAATGGTAAAAGATACTCGTAATATATTAGTATTTGATCATAAATGTCTTAGAAATATTGCTCACATCTGCTGGATCACCGGGTAGTGATAGTGAGGCTAGACGCAGGGTATTATAGGATGGTGGTAAACCAGTTGATGAGGTTGTAAATCTTCATCGACTGAGATGGTTGAGCCACGTGTTACATATACCTGAACACCGATTACCACGACGCGCAATGCTGACTAGTGTTGGGGATGGTTGGAAGAAGGTTAGGGGCGGCCAAACTAAAATGTGGCATCAGTCCTTGAAGTGACTAATTTCTAGCCTGAGCGATGTTGGTAGATGCATACTACTTGGTTGGGGTCCGCGCGACTATCACAACCAATGGTTGGAGACTGTGGATGATATGGCTGAGAATCGATCACAACGGCGTAGGTGTACACACTCTCTTTCTTCCCTTAAACCGTGAGATTAAAATTACTTTATACCTTTATTTGTACAAATTAATTCTTTCTTCCTGTATTATATGATTATACACAATCTTTCTTTTATATATTACTATCATTGAAGTAACTACTTCTATGAATTTGGTGTTCATCTTGTTGTGCTAATGAGGTGTGGCAACTTGAAATGATGAATATATGTGTCTGGTCCTACGTTGTAAATGACTAATTGACTGACCAGGCTTCTCGGCTGGTTTTCCTATAATTATTCTAACCAGTGGGTTGAAACTTTGTGTGGAATGGTTTAGAATTCATCTCAATGGCGCAGATCCATTGACTCTTGTCTTTCCATATATCTTGAGTTTCGCAATTATGTTATCTTCTCCTTTGGCCATGTGTTGTACTTTTAGTTTGGCATTTTTTAAGACAGTTAAAATTACTACTTTTGTGCCCACCTTGATAACTTCTCTGTACTAAGTAGTGTGGCAACTGCGACCTATACACATTTATTCTAAGTTCTACGTTGCTTATATCTGACTAATTACGTAAAGGACTATAGTGTTTAGCTGAATAGGAGAGATAATCTGTTTTACTAAAGATGCATTGTAATAGATTTTGCACATATGAACATATGATTTTTCGCATTTCGCTAACACTTACTAGTAGTAATTATACGCTATTGAAGATATAGAATATTCTCATTTTGAAGGAACATTGACATTCAAATAATTCTAGTAAAATTGGTTTTATTTATATTGTCATATTTTTGTATTTCAGCCTTCCAATCCGGATCAAATTTAAATGTTGATGAGGGCGAAGCTCGTCTAGTTGAATTTGCTCTTGGAGGTTTATCTAATCTTTCGGCTTCATCACCCTTAAATCGTCAAGAAATTCTCAATCACATACATTTACCGTGTATTGTAGCTTGTGCTACATCTCCAGACTCCACAGTTGTTGTACATTCGCTGACTATTATCATCCATTTGTTTACCCGTTGTCCGAATTCAGAAGATTTTATTTCTTTGGGTACTAGGTTTCCTGCTATCGTCCAAATAGCTCGTCAATATTGTGAGTCACGTAATCGGCAGACAGACATTGATCCTCGAATTCCAATTTTATCACAAATACTACTGGAAGACTGTTGTAATTGCAGTTCCTCTCATTAAAACTTTGTTATTTCATCCAAATGTCCTTCGTAAAGAAATTTCGATGCTTACAAATCACATTATTTCTTAATACTCATCGATCTCTATCTCTATGCTCATCTACAACATTTTCAGTACATTCTTATTGTCAGCTGCCTTTAACTACTTTGACCGAAATTCATAAGAGAAATTTAAATGAGAAAGTACTATCGACCTGTTCTCAACTTAAGGTAGCTTTAGTTAGTACTATATATATCTGATGATAACTTTTTAAATTATCAATTCCAAACACGTTTTTCGTACTTATTGATCTTTAGGTTGTGTGATCTAAAATCCAGATATTCGGCATTGAATCTTGACTGAGTTTCACCTATTACCTGCTTCGGTTTGGGCACACGGGCAGTATCACAGCTCTTACACAAATCAAATGAGATTTGTGTGGCGCATATGTATCTAGTGTTCCCTTGTCCAAAGTAAATTAGTTGCAAAGTTGTCTTATTTTAAGCATATCTCAATAACTTTGGTTCCATCAACTTTCATAAAATTAAGCTATTATTACAACCATGTATAGTCGGAAGTTCGAAGTTATGTCAGAGTTTAATCTTCAAGGCGGATGAGGTTTTTGAAAAACTCTGACTGTGACCCTATGCTTCAAAAAAATGTCGAAAATTTACAACGGGAGATCTTATTCATTTTTCAGAATAATTGCTTCCCAAGCTGTTTTGTGCTGGTACTAGCATACAACGTTCAAGATGGTATCAGACTATAGTATAGATAGTTTAAAATTAAAAACATCACCTGGTAAAGTTTGACTCGTTGGCTAAATAAAACCTACTGGATGTGAACGTTGAGAGTGATTCCTCTTCAAATAAATGATGAGTCCCGTCCTTAGCTACTACATTACTGAAGTGGGGGCTTGCTCATTGTAATTCATTTTATGGCTGGCTTTGAGCAGGTACCCATTAGGCTCTGCTGTTAGACTCTCAGGTCAAGGTTTTTAATACTAATTCGAATTCATTTCAGGTTTTGTTAAGAAATAACCCTTCTAAGTATCAGCAATGGAAAAGCGTCGATTGCTCATATACTTTCATAAAAAAATTATGCCTATTTCTCTCACTATGAATTCTGGTCGTATCCCATGTTTTGTGTTGTCGACCTCTCTTTACGGGACCATCTTCCCCTTATGAAGTTGTTGTTTGCAAATTGAGCTCTCAACAATGGTTTCTTTGGTTTTCTCGACCTGTTTCGAACTTCCTATTGAATCCTTCAATGTTCCGACCACAGATCAAGTTAAACAACAGGTCTCACTAGTCAGAATTCGGTTCCACAAATGTATATCTTGTTTTTAAAACACTCATACAAAATCTAAACCCGACTGTTCAATCGGCCTCATATAGATAATGGGCTAAGTTTGGACTTCTTTTTGTGTTTGAAATGGCGACAATAACAGACAGATAGTAATTTTACGTTCCACATTATATTAATCCCTCATCAATATTTAGCAGAGATGTCTCAAAAATTACAAGGAATCTGTTAGGGGATCTTTACCATTGTAGATAAATCATAACATCAATAATCACATGATTTGCACTGATAACTATATCAACTTTAAATTTTGTTCCCAGTATTTTTATCTATACCAATTATTCAAAAGAATTGCAATGTATATTTGAATAGTTTAAAGAGAAAAACGAAGTTGGTCCAGCATAAATGAGATATCCGTCTATCAACTAAAGGACGAGTATATTATAGAGCGGTCTTCCATGTACTAATCTACAGCCACGAAAAGTGGTTTTTAAAGGAAGGAGACAACCATATACGGCAAGTATTTGGTCATAGTTGTCCGTGAAACATTTCTTACCTCTCGCAGAAAAAATGGAGTGAGTAATGCTGAGGTTAGAAGTAGGACATTAAACAAAGATGTTAAATCGATCGGTGAGGCTGTGAATCTTTGTCGATTTCAGTGGATTAGAGGAGTGTGTAACGTATACTACCTAGACTCTCAATGTTGATTGGGATAGAAGTAGGTTGGAAGAAATCTAGAGGTAATCAGATTATGACATGAAATCAACCCACACAACCATTGACTACTAGCCTAGGATACATCATTAGGTGCAAAATCTCCCATTAGGACATTTACAATACTCATGGTCAATGATTAGAGATGTTGGATAATATTGTCTAGATGAGGTCTCGTTTGCATTCATTGTTTTCCTCGAAATTCAGAATTTAGTGTCACTCTTTGACCGTCCATATTGGGACTAACTTCTCTCTTTTGCTTATCAATTTCATCGCTAGCTTTCTTATGTGGTGTGTGGTAAATCGAACTGAATTATATTCGTGCCACAATTCCCACATTATTAATGATTGAGGTACATCAATCTGTATACTATAGTATGTCTATTATAGTGTTGAAATACAATTTATTAAATCAATAATATGCTACAAATCTTGTAATTTGTATAACCATAAAACATTTTGTCTTTCACTGAGCATAATTTGCGAATGTCACATAACTACTGAACAAATTTTCCTAGTTCTTATACCATCAGTTTACTTTTAAATTATTAATTACCTCTATGTTTTAATGTATCTCCATTATTCTAGAGTGATAAACTTGATCTGAATCCACAGTCTGAATCACTACCACATCAGTTACCTGGTTCATTAACTGATCAAAGTAAGCAATACTAAAAGAATACGATTTGAACGTTTTAACTCTACTTAATTTATGTCTATTTTAGCATGCTATCGTTTATTTAATAACGTTTAACGGATCACATACCAAGGAAATTTTAATAATCGTCGATTTTATTATGTTCTTCGCTCATGACGAAACTAGTCAAGACGTAGGATTTAGGACAAATATAACTCATTTGTCAACTACAGGCCTACATCATCCGCTTTGACCACAATTTATGTGGTACCTTGTGATATTCAGCTTAACACATCAGTGTGAATCGGGGATTGAACCCGTAGCTTCTTACAAATTTAAGGTCGTCTACACATTATCACATCAAAATAAATCAAATAAATCGAAAGGATTATAGTATCGGTAAAAGTAAAAAAAGAAGTAGGCGTTTGAGAGAAGCTGATAAAATATGTTGGCGATTAGCATGAAATAATGTAAAAACTTGAGATTTAGAGTGAGCTAAAGATTAAATATATCTGCAATACTCTTGCTGATGTTTAATTTGATTACTCAACCTTACAGCTATCTTGTGAACCCTAACCAACATATCTACGCCCTCTGATATTATAGTGAACGACAACACAAGTGGGGACAATGAAATGTATTTGAACACAAAATCACAGAATCTCTTAGTAAAATCTGAAAACCATACAGTAAATTCTTCATCTGCAAAATGTCAATCAATTGTCTCAGACTTCATTGTTCATTTGTTTCCACACCAAGCATTCTCGTTCTCTTTCCCCCGATCTTAACCTTCTACCACCAGGCATTCCACTTTCCATTGATGATACATACTACTTATATCTATCGACATCAGTAGCACACACCACAATATGACTCATTCCAACACTCATTGAGCCTAAAACAGAAAATGACTTTCTAAACTATGTAAGACTGTAGAACATATATATTCACAATTTATCTGCTGAGACAACTAGCTTCTGACAATCTTGGTGTTTGTTGGGACAGTGATAGTTTTTAAATCTAGTCAAACATAATTGTTTCGAATACATTTACCATAGCATTGTAAGCTGTGTATAAAGTCTCATTTTGTATCTGTCGGTTTTTCACCTTCAACTTTTACTTACTGCCATAAATACTACTGGTATTTATACAGTTTCTTTCCTGTTGTTGGTAGTTCTCTATTCTTATAATGTTGAAGTATTTTAGATTGATTCAGTACACACTATTATACCATGTTTTATATTGCATCTGTCTTTCCTGGAGCCCAATCTTAATATTTGCTGGTGATTTATTTGCCTAATCAAAATTATAATTATTGATTGTTCAAGGTTTGTTTTATGTTAAAAGAAATATCAATGTTTTTGGTAATGTATGTTTGTTTACCAGCAGATACAAGTACTGTTGATGTAGAATGTGAAAACCACTTTTGCACAGCTGAAAAATCCCAATCACTTGGAAGCACTTCAGTTAATAAATGGGTTTCTAGTCCTCTAGTAACATCGTCATCACCATTCTCACCATCAACACCATGCCCAACTACAGTGGACCTGGTTTTAACTCAACCACCTGCTGTCCTACTTTTCAAACATTATGCATCAATTGCTGCAGGTCTTTCAAAGGCTCGTCTTACAGGTTTAGTTGTTTCAACTGCTTTAGTCGGTTGTGGCTTAGCAGCATCTACTAGTATGGTATCACCTGAATTCCTAGAAAATTGTTATTCGACTACAATTTGTTTGGCTCTTGGAACTACACTAACCAGTTCTGCTGCAAATTCAATCAATCAAGTAAGATATATTTAGTCAAATTCTTTTGTGTTCTTAATAAAAGATCAAAACTTTGTTTTATATTTTTAAGTGCTTGAATCTTATCATTAAATTTTTGCCGTTCGAGCAAATCGATCCAAATTTCTACATGATGGAATTAGAGGAGCAAGGAAAATCGAAGTGATTATCTTCGCAACTTCATCAGAAAAGTGTATAAAAAGTTGGCACAGCAGTACGAAATCATCCACAAGTGACAAATAAGTTACATGTGCCCACAGAAAGTGGTGTGGGTTGGTAAACTTAAGGTTAGGAGCACTAAGCATGAACTGCCAAAAAGGCCACCAGCATATTCAATAAACGTTCGACAATGGGATCTGTCTGGGTAGCTAGTGTCGTATGGAGAAGAGTTGGTGACGTGATTTGTGAAGCTAATGCCCAAAGGAAATGTCTGACTCAATACATGAACCACGTACGACCAGGAGAGCATGCATCAATTAAGGAGTCACCTGAACCCAACCTATCATTGCCTTGTTGTTACAGCTAGTCAGGACCAACAAATTCGGAGCAACAAAAACAGCAATCAGGTCGTAAAAAGATCTTCA